AAAAAGGCCCCAATGACATGGGTTGGTACAGTGGTAACAGCAATAGGCTCAAGCCTAACAACAATTGTGAGGATGGCTCAGGACTTAGCAGTGTTTTGTTCTGTTGTACATAAGGTCCCCCTGTGAGTTGGAACCGACTTGACAGCACCTAAGATCAAAGCAACCCTGGTGGCACTGTAGGACAAGCAGTGGACTGCTAACTGCGTGGTAGGCAGTACAAACCCATCAGCCTCTCCAGGGGAGAAAGATGAAACTTTCTGCTCCCTTAAAGATTTACAGCCTTGATACAATTTGATGAACTTGACCCATACTTATGGCTGTAGTAGCTCAAAATACCAACTGAAAAGGGAAGGAGTCTTCATATCAAGTATCAATCCTATCCCCTCTGTATACAGAGTTAATAGGGACGGGCACCTTGGACATTAGCTCTCTAACATGGCGGTGGTGGGGGGGGCTATAAAGGCATGAAGTGACTGGCTAACAAGTTTTCAAGAAGGAGTTTAGTTTTAGAGTATGCAGTGGAAGGTGGAATTCCCCGCTGGTCTCTACTCTTCCAGAACAAGGAAGAGAAAAGGAAACCAAAGACTCAAAGAAAAAACTAGTCTACAGGACAAATAGCGTACATGAACCACAACCTTATCTACCTTAAGACTGGAAGAACTACCAGTAGCTCCCTTTCTGATCAGAGCCACAATTGACGGACTCTGACAGAATTGGGAGAAAATGTGGAACAGAGCCTCAGATATCAAGGGTGGAGGGGTGGGCGTCAGGGGAAAGACTTAGCTGACTGCTTGAAACTTAGGGGACTCCCTGAGACTATTAATTTTCCTGACATGCTCTTTATGCCTGAATTGGAACTCCTCTGATGCCACATTTTAGCTAAATAACAGACTAGCTCACAAAGAATGTCACTGATCAATACTGTGCATCTTTTTAAAAATCACCTGTAGGGGCTTAGATAGTTAACAGTTACTTTAAAACAGAGATAAGAATATGAGGGAGCAGGGAAACTAGATGAATAGAAATGGAACTATCATAAAGAAATATGGAGAATGTTCATGAATTGTGAAGAATATAACTTTGTCACTAATCTGTGTAGAAATTGTTGAGTGGGAACCTAAACTGTTGTGTAAACTTTCACCAAAAATACATTAAAAAAAAAAAAAAAACAGCGTAAGGGATAAAGGACATTATATCATGATTAAAGGGTCACTTGACGCAGAGGATATAACCATAATC